CATTGCTGCGGACCCCAGGACATGTCCAGGACGCTGTCATTGAACAGCTCATGGATGACAATCATGGGACGCTGCAGCGCCGTCATCCACACGGATAGCGAGCGATCCCGTGAGCCAACGGCCAGGACGCAGTACTGCATCGGTTTGCTGGGACTGTCGCCGGCCATGTGGCGCGTCAGTATGGAGTTGTGGAAGCGCACACAGGTGACCGCTTTGCGATGCCCCACAAAATCCTTGTCGCACTTCCAGCCCTCGCGCTCGACAATCTGGGCGGTGGGTCCGCCGCCGTTCATGGCGTGCGCCGAGACCAGATACTGGCCATCGGGTGACCAGGAGAGGCGCAATATGTGCGTGGTGCCGCCGCATTCCTGGAATGGTTCCGTTATCGTTGTGCCGCACGACCAGTCCATGGTGCGCCAAATCTTGATGCTGCGATCATCCGACTGAGAGGCCAAGAACTTGCCCACCGGATCCCAGGCGACGCCCTTCACCAGGCCCGTGTGTCCCTTCAGGGTTTGCAGCATATTGGGCAGAGCACGGGCATCCCAGACAATGATGGTGTTGTCTATGCTGCAGCTGGCTAAAAAGAGATCATTGGGCGACCAGGCCAGATCGAGGACATCGCCATCGTGGCCGCGCAGCGTGTGTATACACTTCCAGGACTCGTGATTCTGTTGCATGCCGCCGGTGCCAAAGACGCCGCTGGGTCCCTGCGCCTTGCGCCAAATCATGATTAGCTTGTCATCCGAACCGGATGCCAGCAGCTGTCCATTCTGCGACCAGCGCACACAGTTCACGCACGCCAAATGCTGATCCATTTGGCAGAGCATCCGTGGCACCGATGCATCGTTCTCATCCTTCTCGGAGAGCACCGGCTTAAGATTCCAAATGACAACACGCCCGGAATCGTTGCCCTGACCGCCAGTTGCGAATTTTGTACAATCCTGATGCACATCCACCGAGAAGATGGGTTTTTCTGTGTAAACCAAAACAAATTACCAGATTAATGCAAAAAACGGGCTGCTGGCCGGCTGCTGCTTACCATCATGGTGCACCCAACCCGGCTTCACGAGCCTCATTAATGCGGCTGCTGTCAGTTGTTTGTAAATAACCGCGGTTCCAATTGCCGCTCGGTATTATATTTGCCGGCAAATAGGGATGTAAATAACATAACGACATGTATCGAGTAGATTGATTCATGCGCTGGGCCAATCCATGAGCTACAAGAGTATCGATATATATGCAAAATAATATATGACAAATCAAACTGATATCGATATAGTTTTTATAACAACTTTAGTTTACTAACTATATATGTCACTCATCAAATAGTTTCAAATGCCAATTCTATTATACATACATATAGATTAATGTATTTTAATAGCTCGAATTTAAATTTGTTTTTTTTTTTTTTGGCAAACTCGTGCTAAAGCCAACACGACACACGCCCAACACAAGACCCGAGACAATGTGTTGTTGTCATCCCTAAGCAAATACGCATGCGCGCTGATCTTGCAATAATTGGCAATGAGTATTTGCCGCCAAATGTACTCGTTATCGATATCGCTTGTCTGGCAATCGATAGACTTATTGTGTGAAATTTTTGCGGTATCCAAGACAGCGGTGTTGTGCTTAACCAAGATATCAATTAACAAGTGCAGATTGAATGAGTGCAGTGCCTAAACTAATCAAAGAACGACTTAAGCAATTCAACAACATATTGACAGCCATAGTAGCTGTCAATATTAGTGCAAAACGATCAAAAGGGTAAGAAGCAGAACATAATGAGCAATTTATGTACATACATACATATATAGATAAGTGTCTGCATGCCTGTTTGTGTATGCGTGTGCATGTGTGTGTGGTACGTGTGCAGCCCAAACATTCAAAATAAAGCGAATGAAAATGCATAAAAGCGAAGGTTAAGCACAAAGCGCACAGATAGAACATATGTGCATACATACATTTCCATGCAAACGCACGTATGCATGTGTGTGTGTGTGTGTGCGTGTATGGATGTGTATCTGTTCCAAATGCGTAGATAAAATTGTTACCGATTTGTTGTTGACCTTCGCTTTGCTAATCAAACGAATCGGCAGCCGCAAACCAACAATGAACTCTTTCAATGGCAGCGGCAACTTAACCTCGTTCACAACAAGCCACAAATGTGCGGAAATACATAGGCATATATATATATATTTATAAATATATATATATATATATGTGTGTGTGTGTGTGCAAGTACAGACCAAAAAGCAAAGCGGTGCAAAAATTAAAACACTAACTACCGCTGTCATTTCATGTTATACTTGGTTTTTTTTTTAATTAGTGAATCTGTTTGCGCGCGCTTTCTCTGCAGGCACACACACACACACACAAAGGGACATATGGTGGTTGCCGCTTACACACACTTTATGCATGCATACATGCACAGAATTCGGTCTATTACTTAACAGGCAATGCGATAAAGCAAGCTGGCCGCTGTTGCTCGCCCGCTCGCTCGCTGTGCCAAAATGAGCACAGCGTACACATCATACAGGTGAGCGAGAGAGCGCGCAACCTACTTCCATTTTTGGTGCGCTCTGCTCTTGCGCAGGCTACGCAAGGCATAAATGTGTGTGTGTGTGTGTGTGTGTGTGTGTGTGTGTGTATTGGTGTATGTTTGTCAAGAAACAGTTATTCAAGCCGAAATCAAAATGCCCAAAGTTGCATTTGTTGTTGTTGTTGTTTGTGTTTTTTTTTTAAGATTTTTTACTTTCTATTTTAGTTGTGCTCTTTGTTGTTGGGTATTACGCTGGCATTCATTTAATACTGAATGTGAGTTTGTAATACCGTTATTTCGAATATCGTTCGCCGCTTCTGTTGTTGGTGCTGTCGAAAAGCTTAGCGGCAACCTGTTTCACGCATTGCTCTCTGCTCCACGCTCCTTGTATTGCTGTTTTTGTTGTTGTTGTTGTTATTGTTATTATTGCTGTTTTCACATTCTTATGAGAATTCCAATCAGACAGCCTGGTCTTTCACTTTCGGTCAGACGCAACATGTGTGTGTATGTGTGTGTGTGTGTGTGTGCGTGTGTGTAGGAAAGTTGATTTTTTCATGCGTGCCGCAGCAAAAACAAGGTCAGCGTTAATTATGCGCAGTATACATGTATGTATGTACATATGTATGTGTGTGTGTCACAATAAACAAACATCTTTGACGCATATCTCTATTTATAATAAACCGCTGTTCGCGCTCGCCCATCCAATTCTTTGCGGCATTTGCTTATAACTACCCCCCACCAAACCTTCCTAACGCCCACTTCCTCGTTCGCAATCAATTACCGCAAGTACAGTTTTTGTTTTGTTTCGCAAATGAAATTGGTGATTGGTGTAAAAGAGCAAGCACATACATACATATGTACGCACACAATCGCATTGCCGTTGTCTTACATCAAAATGTACTAAATATTGCCAAATGCCACTGCTTGCATATTTGTTTTTTTTTTTGTTTTTTTTTTTTTCTTGCGTTTTAATTTGCATTTATATGAGTTTTGCGCCACTGCCACTTGCTGCTGCGCGCTGTCTTTAACATCGTAAACAAGAAACAAAACCTGGCTGCGTCGCAGCCACCAATAACGAGTGCATTTGACCCAAATTTAGGCCTTTTTTCTTTTTTGTTTGTTTGTTGTTGTTGGTGTTGCTAGCCAGTGGCAACTGGCACGTAGCGCACAGCAAGGAAATGTACACATTTTTTTTTCCATGCGTTTGCGAACACTTTCGCCTGGGCAAAACAAGAACAACAACAATTTGTTGCACTGTGCTGTGTGGCAGTGTTGAAAAGCGTGTAAACAGCTGACGGCGTTGCCACTAAATATGCGCAGTGTTTTCCAATAGGTACGAGTACTTTTACACAGCTGATATTCAGTGTTTTATCAGAATTGTACTTTGAATAGGTCTCATAAATGTTTGCCTACCATTTTTTTTATTTTTTTTTTTTTGGTTACAACAAAACAGACAATATGCAACACGGTTGAAATAAAGTACCAGTTCTGGTGCATTTAAACTAACATGTGGCAACTGTGCTTACATCTCATTTGTCACGTATTACACTTTTGCTCTAACATCGATGTTGTTGTTGTCCGGGGGTGGGGTGGTCTATAAATATACAAACAAGCATAGAAGCTTCTGAGTGTGCGTGTGCGTGTGCGAGAGAGAGACTGTGACGCTTGTTTTGAATTGCGCCTTAAGCATATGCATGTGTACATATGTTTGTATGTATTTATGTAGCCAGAAGAACCGCAACTACCACAACAGCTAGAGAGCGGCGCTTATCAGCTTTTGCTCGCACACGTTTTGACATTTTATCAGTTATTGTTGTTGCACTTATATGCGTTATATGCCACGCAAACAATAACAAACTGTATGCAACAACTGCAGACGAGCAACACAAATGAAACAACACAAATATATACATATATATGTACATGCATACATATATTTTTTTTTTAAACGTTTGCCTCCTTTTGTTCTGTGCAGTGTGGCAACGCCGTCTTGTTATGCAAATTGTTTCTCTCACTCGCTCGCACTGTATCTCAATATCTGTCGTTTATGTGTGTGTGTGTTTTTTTTCACAACCGGAATTTTTTCGCTGTTGCTTTTGCTGCGCGCATTCTCACGTACACAAGAGCGTTTGGTTTGCGCTCAGCTGCTACTGCCGCCGCTTTGCGCTGTTACTGTTGTGTTATCACTGCATTTGCTTTGTGCTACATATTCTCGACGCTGTTTGGGTTTCGTACATTTTGCGCTGCAACCGCACTCACACGCACGCATACACATGCACTCAGGCGCACAGATACGCGCGCACACACACACACACAGCGTCGAGTGTGTACGAAAAAGTGACGGCTGAAGAGCGGCGTCGTTGGCGTCGGCGTCGGCAGCAGCAACATCAACGCAGCGCAGCGCAGCGGTTTATTTTATTATATTTTTTTTTTTGTATTTTCGGTTTGTCAGTTTGCCTTTGTGTTTCTTGCGTGCAGACGCGTTTCGTTATTTCGCTGTAAATTAAATTTGCGCTTTGCATGCAATTTGGAAATTCATTTCAATATTTTGTTGAAAATAAATGATTAAAGTGACTTGTGAAATAAATGAATAAACAATAAATAATTAAATTACGCAAATCCATTAAATTTCAAGTTAACTCTCGTTGACTTGTTACGGCGCAGGTAAATTGCTGTACATTTCAATTTATGCCTAAATATGGCTACTAAACGCGACTTAATAGAAAATTTGCCAAGATCAAAACATGATTTTTGTCAAACATGTGTATGTATGTACATGTATGTGTGTGTGTGAGTGTGTTTGTGTTGTGCGCGCGTGGCGTGGGCAGCTGCAGCAGCAACAACAACAACAACAATCTAGTCGGCGTCCGGCACTAAATGAAAAATATCTAAGAGAAAAAATACAGTGTAAACCTGTTTACGCAGTAGGCGCATTTTCACCAAACCAACACTTACGAACACGGACACACACACACACACACAGACGCGCGTACTAAGTCACAGAGCAACTAGAAGAGAAGGTGGTCAAGTGTCGCACCCCGCCCCCCCTCTATCTCTCTCTCTCTCTCTCTTTGCTCACACTTGCAGGCTCCAAACAATTGTAGTAATTTTTAAACGTTTAACTTTGTAACGTTTACCAACACGTAATGTCCCAATATCAATAGCCTCAAAGACGATCACACACACACACACACGCACACAAAAAATGCGTGTGCATGTGTGTATTACACGCGCCGGTGCATACATACAAGCAAGTACATGTGTATGTATATATGTACGTACGCACTTTCAACTTGAACGCCAATGTTCGAAAATCAGAGTGTCCCCAAAAATAAAATAAAAAGCATTTAAACACACACACACACTCACACTTATGCACGATGACAACGCGCACCTGGGAGCAAAGCGAGCAGCGCTGCTCGAAAGTCACGTCACTAGCTCTGGGGTGAATATCGTGTGTTGTTGTTGTTGTTGTTGTTTTCACGAGAGTGCAACGAGCGCGCGCGCCAATGCAATGTGTATGCATGTACATGCACATATGTATGTATGTATGTATGTATGTTGTGTGTGCATTGATGTGCGTATTTTTTTTTTTGCGCGACGCTTTGTTTACGCGTCCCCAAAGTGCACGTATACATGCACAAGCATGCGTAGAATCTGTGTGAGTGTGTGTTTTGCCTTTGCTATATGCATGTTATGTATATGTGTGCGTGTGTGTATTCAGTCAGCTGCTTTTGTGGCTCGCGTTTGCCTGTACAAAATTTAGCATATAATTAGCATTATATATGTACATAAGTATGTATGTATATTAAACATACCACCTGCTAAATATTGATAAGAAACAAAAGTGGCTTTAAGTCATATTTTTGCATTTTAACATCTTTGATTGAGGGCAAAAACAGCAGTACGGCAACACGATGCGCTACTGTTGCCAGCTGTTACGTGTTAATACATATATATATATATATATTTTTTTTTTTTTTCTTTTAACTTGACTGAAAGGGCAATGTTTTTATTATGTGCACGTATTTTCATCTTCAAAAATTGATCATTTATTAACATGCCGTATGTGCAGTGTGTGTACATGTTGCCTTTAGGCAACGAAAGCAGCGCGAGTAACAGTTTCGCAGCGTTGCCACTTGGGCAATAGACTCGAAACGCCTTACAACACTGTTGAGCTCAGCTGTTTTTCCACTTTGGCCGTTTCTAATTTGAAAGCATTTACTTATAAAATACTAATTTTTTATTTCTTGTTTTTTTTTTTTTTTCTTTTTTGCAGCAAGCAAGCTATACAAATGCAGCGCAAAATATCGCAACGCAGACGATGGATGATGCCCGAGCTCAGCATAACAACAATAAGGGCTGTGCACAAATAGCAATTAATCAAATTGAAATCAGTGAAAAATAACAACAACAACAACAACGCACAAACATTAGTTATTTGAGTTGAAAGTACTCGTAAACGGTTAAAAAGAAAAAAAAAAAGAAAAATCGCAAAAAAGAAAAGAACTAAAAGAATTGTTTAGCTTGTGGCCAATCCGTTACACATATCCATTCACAACAACAAATACAATATCTGCCGCCATGTTCAATTTCCATAAGCCACGCGTCTATCGCTCAGCGGACGGCTGCTGCATTTGCCGCGCCAAATCGAGCAGCTCCCGGTTCACAGCCTCGCGCAAATACGAAAAGGAATCGATGCAGTGCTTCAATCTGCACGAGCCGCGCAACGGTGAAATCTGTAATGCCTGCGTTCTGCTGGTCAAGCGCTACAAGCGGCTGCCCGTCGGTAGCAAGCGCCATTGGGGACATGTGAGTGCAGCCAAAAGAAAGTTCCATGCAACATAAACTAATCCCACCCCTCTCTCTCTCTCTCTCTTTTACACAGGTGGTTGATGCACGCGCCGGTCCCGGCACCAAATCGCTGGCCAAGCAGAAGAAGCGCGAGAACGAGTGTGAGGGCAAGACGGGCGGAGGCGGCTCTTTTATACCCGAGAAATTTGCCAAGATTTTCAAAAAGAATCGCAAGGGCAAGATAACGGCTGCCGCAGCGCCATCTGCAGCCGGTCAGCAGCAACTGCAGCAGCGCAACGGCAGCAGCCACGAAAGCTCACCACACTCGGAGGAGCAGCCGAGCGATTCCAATGAGAGCCACGACGAACAGGAGCAGCAGCTGCAACAACTACAACAACAACAACAGCAGCAGCAGCAACATCATCATCAGCTGAGCGCATGCGTTGCCGCAACACCATATCAGACGCGCAAACGGACCGCTGCAGCAGCGCAGCTGGCCACGGCGACAGTGTTGAAAAAGAGTGTTGCACAACGTCTGCGTTTGACTGGCAGCAAGCGCAGGCGCATGCTGGAACCCAAAAAGCATCGACGCGCCGTCGACAATGTGCCCTTCTTTGAGGAGCACGATCTGCTGCGCCTAGACGTTTGCTGCGGCACCGTGTTCCAGAGTCTTAGCCTGGGCAGTGCCTGTTATATAATCGATCCGGAGCTGTATAAGCCATGCGAGAAGCATCGCAGACGCAGGCAACAACAGCTGTCGCAGTCGCAGTCGCAGCCGCCGAGGGAACTGGTCCAGCAGACGCTGCTGGCCGCAGAGCTAGAGCCAAAGCCTGTTAGTCAGAGCATCAGCACGCCGGCATTAAAAAAGCATCATTTGTATTTTAAGCGACAATCGGAATCATTTCCACAGGGCGAAATACATAGAATAAGTCCAATTCCATTGAATAAGACTGAGGTCATGCCGAACCCAACGCCAGCAACAGCAGCAGCAGCAGCATCAGCAACAGCAACAATAACAACAACAAACAGTGTACAACAACAGCAACAACATTCCACAGCCAATGGCAGTTTAGCGCTCGCACTTAAACCAACACTGGCAGCGGCATCTGTGACGTCATCAGCCTTGCATGCGAGCATCTTAACAACCGCTGTGGGCGCCGCATCGCCCTCATCGTTATCTTCATCCTCCAATTGCTCCACCTCTTCGTCGGTGGCCACCAAATTCAATGACAATTCCTCGGACTCTGGCTTCGATGAGCATGTGCTGGAGCGCAAATCCGTTAGTCCGCCAACGGTAAGTGTCCCTTAAGTTTATATCGTGTTGATTATTGTCATTTTGCCAGAATCTCTGCCTGCTCTGCTGCTCATTTGCTGCTATTGCCATCTCGCTTCAATGCAAGCTCCGATGCCAGCTGAGTGCATATATTGTTTACATTGAGCTACGTTCTAATGTTAATGATTGTGAGCTCTTGTTGCCATCTCGCTTCGATGCACATGCTTGTTGCGAGAGTTGCAAAAGCTTTGCGCACAGTGTTGCCAGATTTTGACAGTTTTGTATATATATATTTTTTTTTAGCTTATGTATGCACAGGTGCTACTGTTGCCAGCCTGTTCTAATTCATATGTGTTGAACTTTTGTTTACAATGACGCTCAAACTGTTTTATTTTGCCATCTTCTTTATTAACAGCAGGACGAACTGCAGCTGGAGAAGAAGGCACGCGGCGGCAGCGTACAACGTTTAATCCTGGCCAGCGGTCTGCCCATCAGCGGCCAGGCCCAGAATCTGGTGCTGACGGGCAACGAGTTTACCGCGCGCTTCGTCCAGCGGCAGCAGGCGCCAACCCAAGCGCCGCTCAAAATCAATGTCCTAGCGGGCGGAGCAGCTGTTGGAGGAGGAGGCGGAGGAGGAGCAACAACAGCAACTGGATCTCAAAGTAGTGGCAATAAAATGCGTGCAATATTTAATAATGCGAACACAATTCAACATGAGAACGGGGTGACAACCATATTGCCGGCATCCTCGCTGGCGGCCAGCAATCAGACGGCGGCCATGAATGCCATAGCGCCCAGCACGGTGACCATAACGCCAGCCAAAAAAGCAACAATCAATGCAACAGCAACATCAGCTGTCAATCCCAAGTTTATACTCCTAAAGCCAGCAATTGCCAGCAAATTTGCCAGCAACAGCAGCAGCAGCAACAACAACGGCGTGAATCCGGCGCCAGCTGAGCTGAAAATAGCTTAAAAGTGGAAGGAAGCGGCGGCTAGCATCGGCACGCCGAAGTTTAAATACCCTTGCAGCAGTGTTTAAGCTATGTTTGTTCACATGTTAAAGTAGTCCGATTCCGATTCCAAACAAGAATATTTTAAAAGCACACAAATTTCGATCGATTATTCCTATGGCAGCTATATGCTATAGTGTCTCGATCATGTCCTTGTCTAATTTCAATAAGAAATCGCTTTTAAATTCTCTATAAGCATATTTTACTGTAACCTCTGCAAGGGCTATGAAAGGCTGCCATTATGTTAAGAGAAACAAAACCAATTACATAGCCATGTTAACTGGCTGTTAAAAACTTGTTGATTTACATGCATATTGTAGCGAGTATTTACTGTAAGTGACAAAACAGAAACTAACAAAAACAAAAACAAACAAACAAACAAAAAAAAAAAAAAAGAGGCGCAACAAATTGTGTCCAAAATTTGTATATATTATATAGAGAGATCTATGGATATATAGCTCTAAGTACAACAACAACAAATCGTTTCATACATTTCACAACATTTTACATACATATATATATATATATATATATATATATTATTTTTTTTGATTATGATTAGATTGATAGTTTGTATTTTTTGTAAACAATTATTTTGTAAGCGCCCATACTCAGCAGCAATTTCTTAAACTTAAAATATTTAATTATATTTAAATTAAACTTTACCTTAACATTTACATTAGCATTAACATTTACATAGCATTTACATTTAGTTTATGTACATTCACTTATGCACGCACACATACACTTTTATAGTTTTACATGCACTTTGCTGCGCTCTCTCTCCCCTCTCTCTCTCTCTCTCTCTTTTGCTTTAAGTTTAACAGTGACCGCTCGCTCGCGCAGCTTAACTTAACAGCGCGCTGTTAAAGAAGCCGCTGCTATGTTAAGTCCGTCTATGTTCGTAGTTTCTTTTTTTTTTTGTTCTCATTTTTTTTTTTTTTTTAAAGAAAACTCGCTCTTAAGTACTTCAAAGTACACAGAAAATGATAAGCAATAAAAATAAAACTGAAAACGTAAAAACTTAATATTAACTGAACCACAAAATGCCACAAAATGTAGCCTTAGAAAAAGCGCCTAGAAAAAAAAACAAAAAAAAAAAACAATTTATTGCAACATTTGCAAAAACTTCTATGTGACAAAAAAAAAAAACAAATTAAGGCAATGTTTTTCTCTAACTTTTTTTTTAAAAATCAAATAAATATAAAAAGCGTAAATTGAATTAAGCAAAGTTTGTTTTATATGAAGTGCTCCAAAAATCCAAAAGCTTTGTATGCACATAAAGTTTTGATGTGCTTTTAATGTTTATCACTCATTTCCAGTGTTAGAAAACGTGCGCAGAGGCTCAAAAGCTATGGAGTTTAAGCTTTTATAAATGCTTAAAAGCTTTGCCAAGCTCAAGTTAAGTTTGTCACACCGCTTTAATCAAAAGCTTTTGGTGATGTGCTTTCAAAGCTTTTGACTAAAGAAAGTAAGTTTTTAAAAAAAAAAAACAAGGAAAGTTGATCAAAAGAAAAACAAAATGCAAAGTAAAGCATTACTAATTGAAAAAAAAAAGAAAAAGGACTTGCCGAAACCCGGGATTGAACCGGGGACCTTTAGATCTTCAGTCTAACGCTCTCCCAACTGAGCTATTTCGGCGCCTGGCGAGCGCTCGGCCAAACGCGACGAGCTGCTTGCGGCTTGTGAATCATTCGAATGCATTCGAATAATTCTGATGCCAATCATCAAATATGACTAGTTCAATTACGCGGAGATCATTAAAAACAATAAAAAAAAAATAAAGTAAAAAAAAGTCCGTTTGATGAACTGCGCAGTGTTAAAGTGAACCCATTTCTGTTTTTTTTTTTTTTATATTCAATTTTGTGTTATTTTGCACGCTTTAGTCATTTATTAGCGTGTCGTTCGGGGGTTATGCCCGTCAGAAAGTTCCTTTTGCTAATTGGACCAATGCCGTGCGGGGTCGCCGGGTGGCCGTGTTTGGGCCCAAGCCCGGGTTTTGTTTTAATGTGGAAAGTGCCAACGGCTCGAAGAAACCGGTTGCAGTTGCCCAAGTGCCAAGGCCTGCAGCCACCTTCTTGGGCGACCGTCGACAAGGAAACGCAATTAGACGCTCTTGAGCTCGTAAAATACACGCGTGCATCGCCAGTTACTTTAAATATGTCGCGGCCAATCAATGTATATCTGTGCTTAAATATCGCATTTATATATATTCATGATTCATGCACAAAATGCAGGTGTTTGAGGCGTGCAAATGCGTTCATAATTGCGGTTCAACTTTTGGATGCCAAACGAAACTGTACAGACAGGTAATAGAGTAGGGGGGAGGGGGGGTGGGCGAGACAGGGGATAGCGGGAAGGGAGAAAGAGAGAGCGCGGGAGAGGTCAAAGGTGAGGAAACTGAAACATGATGGGACTCAAAGTCTAGAGAAACTATATAACTATATAACGCTTAAAGTATTCCAACCAGGTCACAAGATCGATATTTATCGATCATATCATAAAAATGAAGCAGTTTCTGATTAGTTTAGTCTCTAGTATATAAGCGCCCGACTAGCTGATATCCAGATTCTTCTGCCAAGCCAAGCTATGAAAAGTAACATGCATGTCAAGCGGAAGATTCGTAATTTCGATAACGATTTTTATCGATTGCTTGGCAACGGGTCAAGTTATCGATGATCGACAATGAATTCGTATTGAGCGGACGCCAAGAGAACCTAGGTTCAAGTCTCTAGCTCTTATAGGTACTGAGATCCTTGAGTTTAAACAGACGGACATGCATATCCCCTTTCGAAATATATATATATACCGATTTTTTTGCAAGATCGATTATTCAATTCGATTGTTATCGGAAAAGTCTATACACAATTTGGAATATACAATCGAATTTTCATAATTGATCGATTAGGTTAATTCTCTTCTATTTACACATTTGTGGAGAGTCCAGTTACAACGGGCTAGGCTGCAGACCCCTTGAACGAACTAGCCCTCTATTCACTATGCTAGGGTATTTGCAAATCAAGGTATCTTGCAAACTGCATATAGCAAAAAAAACGGGTCGAGCATCGCCTTGAGAATCGCTCAAGCAAGACTTACAACAACAGCGACGCCACCCAAAAGCCCACCCACCCACACAACGGGCCAAGAGCCACCTTCCCCTCCCCCGTTACCCTGCACCCTTACCCTTACCAACTTAGTTTAGACCAAACCCGTTCTTCGTTCTTGACGTCACGTAGCACACAACGAAAAATTGCATATGAAAATCGAATAAAAACTTAACAAGAATTAGCTACACAATTTTGAATAGCTGCAAAAAATAAATAATAATAAACAAACTAAATGAAAAAATTATTAAAAAATTAAAAGTTCAAAAATAAAAATGATAAAAACTTGCCTTTCGCCCATTGGCAAACCCGTTCTGCTGTCTTCAGAGCTCAGTCTTCCGTTCTCAGTCTTCGGGCTTCGGAGTTCTCAGTCTTCGTCTGGGCAGGGCATATCAGGTTCCCCCTCCAGCCCCCTACCCAGCCCACAGCTAACTGCAACTGCAAGTGCAGTAAAAAAAAAATTGCCCATTTAAGAAAAGAGTAGAACCAAAAAGAACGCAACGTGAACGGAAACTGGATTTGACATGCCCTTGTGCGGGGAATTACCATTTGTTAAGGACATGCGCTACAGTCGAAAGGGTCCTTCCGACACTCAGCTGAACTATGCTACAGTGAAAACTGGCTAGCTTGAACCACGACAAAGCGAGTGTCGAGACAGATACTAGCTAGGCTTATATCAAATTCGATTCTATTTTTGTTCCTGCAAAATCTTTAATCAAACTTGTTGGCAAATGAGAAACTCATGTGTTTTTCAGCTTTGAACGAACTTTAAAATTCTTTGCGCCCATCCACAGTACCGTAAGATACATAATTTACAGGGTATTCAAACTTCGGTGCACATATTAAATAGTTTTTGAATAAAAATGAAGCATATGGCATATAAATAATGTTTACTTTTTGTTGTATTTAAAAATAGTAACGAAAGCTGACAATTGGCGAGCATTCACTGTACTCGCATACATATTTATTATGTTCTTAATTAAAAGCAGAACTTTTTAGCGCTTTATAAGATTAGCTAGTTAATCTGGTGATCGGGCAAAATAGTAAAAAAAAAGAGCAGAAATAAAAAATTGAAGGCTTGCCGAAACCCGGGATTGAACCGGGGACCTTTAGATCTTCAGTCTAACGCTCTCCCAACTGAGCTATTTCGGCGCTGGGTTTAGGGCGGCTTAAACGATTCCAAGTTCGCTAAGCAAGCAAACCAAAGCCAATAGAACTCAACTACACGAATATAAATGTAGATAAGTGCATATACATATATATATTTATATATTAGGTATTTGTACTAGGTTTATATAGTAGCTATATGTTCTATGCGATAAGACGCTTGCTGGCAGTGGCAAATCAACGAAATATTGTGAATGTCTAATATTTTCATATTTTATTTGATATCTGATTCATTTGAGGCACACTCAAGGAAAAAGGGTTCACTCAGGCACATAATCTTGAGCCGAGTCGTAATATCCATATTCGTAAGTCCCCTTTGAGACCATTAGAGCGAGAGACTTGCAATTTGAGAACTAGTTCCTCCAAGAAAATTTGTGAACTAATTCTCTAGCTCTAGTTCTTGATAGTACAAGAGAATTTGAGAACTAGTTCCTTCCAGTTCATTCAAGACCATTTGAGAACTAGTTCCACCTAGTGCAGGAACATTAAAGAACTAGCTCCTTCTGGCTTAAGAAAATTCAAAAACTAGTTCATCGAAGAATATTTGAAAACTAGTTCATCAAAGAAAATTTGCAACTGCACAATTGAATAGAGCAGCATCTTTAAGAATTTCTGTATACATGAAAAAACACACATTCATGCGCGTCTGCTTCGCATTTTAACAGCATGGTTATTGCGACCTTTTCTGTAATTAAGTTTTCTGTATTTAAGTTCCTTTTCTATCTTAGGAACTCCAAAAAGACATAACTCCGCGCGAAGATATGACGTTCCAAAACGACATAACTCCGCGCGGAGATATGAAAATCGAAAACTTTTCTCGGGAAATAGCTCCGCGCGGAGATATGACGTTCCATAACGACATAACTCCGCGCGGAGATATGACGTTCCATAACGACATAACTCCGCGCGGAGATATGACGTTCCATAACGACATAACTCCGCGCGGAGATATGACGTTCCAAAACGACATAACTCCGCGCGGAGATATGACGTTCCAAAACGACATAACTCCGCGCGGAGATATGACGTTCCATAACGACATAACTCCGCGCGGAGATATGACGTTCCATAACG